TAATCTATTTTTCCACAGCTCCCACTGGAAATGTATTTAAAGCTTCAGATCCTCTACAACAAGACATTTAGTATGTCTACCTCTTTCTCATGGAGAAAAACCAGGCACACAACCATTCTAGTATCTCATACTTCACAGACCAACCTGTACTGTAGCATACTGTACCTACTTGTTCAGTCTCATTCCTCCCACTTCTGTTCCATTGCTATTTTCTTTGTGAATTGATATTAGCGGTTGGTTGATTCTAAACTTTTCCTTCACGCAATAGGACGCCCGAGGGTGTGATTGACAGATGCGCCTGTATGTGTTGGCACCACCAGTGCCTTTGACCGGCTCACACCAGTAATAAAAGCAAAATACTAGTTGAAAGAAAAATCGTGACCCAAGGGAATATTTTATAAGGAACTCATGTCTAGCTACCTGTTGAAATGTTAAATTAATTAAAGATTGTTATGAGATGTTAGTCAAAACAAAATACTAGTTTAAAGAAAAACCTGGTTCCCAAAGGTATATTTTTGAAGGAACTCATGTCTAGCTATCTGTTCACTTGTTGAAATGTTAATAAAGGATTGTTACAGAAATGTTTATTTTTATTCTCTGTCATTTGTATTTACTAAGCACCAGTAAAATACTGTAGCGAATTCAGGGACTCAAACCTGGACCAGGACTCAAACCTGGACCAGGCCCCGACCAGGACTCAAACCTGGACCAGGCCCCGACCAGGACTCAAACCTGGGTCTAGCGACTCTCAACCAAACACCTTAGCCGTTACACCAAATGACCCTTAACGAGGTCGCTAGGTGTTGGATTAAGGTCGCTACAATACTGTTTTATCCGCTCAGCCTGCATTTGCACAGGCACAAAGGAGAGGGACGGGGAGGAGGGACATGGAACTAACCTTTTTATTAAAAGTAATACAGAACTTTAAACATTATGTTTGCATGTTTTATTAAATCATTGTTGCAAAATACAAGAGCAATCAAACAGTATTTTTACACAAGTATTTTCTCTTCTATGGATGTCATCAGTTGGCATAAGTATACATTTTAAAATGCAAACATGGCAGCATAGATACATTTTATGTGCCTGTTGTTTACATGGTAGTGGGGATGAGCATTAGATAAGTCCATGTTTGTTTAAATGAATAGTTCTTATTACCATGCCAGACTTTCTAGCATGTTCATTAATGGTGACAAATAAAGAGAAAGCAGGATAGGACTATGGAGGTATGCTGGGATATCATGGTGAGAGAGGACAAAACTATCATGGTGGACCAATAGCCAAGAAGGGAGAGAGAAGAGTTGGATTGCAAGGACGGGGAGATTGAGGTTCAGATACAGATGGGAAAACAGGCAAAATCAAAGAACCATACCACAGGAATCAAACTGGAGATCAGAAGACCAAACGAGATTGAAGAAAACTTGATGTACATGTTTGGGAGAAAGAAAAAAAAAGTGTTAAGGCGAAAGAGAGAAGAGATGGAGACATCCCATGAAGATTGCAGGAGAAAATCTGCAAGAGATGGTATATCCCTAGGCAGATGGGTTGCCTTCCACATTAACGATGTTCCGACCTACACTACCAGTCAAAACTTTGGACACACCTACTCATTCAAGGGTTTTTCTTTATTTTTACTATTTTCTACATTGTAGAATAATAGTGAAGACGTCAAAACTATGAAATAACACATGAAATCATGTAGTAACCAAGAAAGTGTTAAACAAATCGACATATATTTTATATTTGAGATTCTTCAAGTAGTCACCCTTTGCCTTGATGACAGCTTTGCACACTCTTGGCATTCTCTCAACCAGCTTCATGAGATAGACACCTGGAATGCATTTCAATTAACAGGTGTGCCTTGTTAATTTGTGGAATTTATTTCCTTCTTAATGCGTTTGAGCCAATCAGTTGTGTTATGACAAGGTAGGGGGGTATACAGAAGATAGCCCTATTTGGTAAAAGACCAAGTCCATATTATGGCAAGAACAGCTCAAATAAGCAAAGAGAAACAACAGTCCATCATTACTTTAAGACATGAAGGTCAGTCAATACGGAAAGTTAAGAAATTTGAAAGTTTCTTCAAGGGCAGTCGCAAAACCCATCAAGCGCTATGATGAAACTGGCTCTCATGAGAACCACCACAGGAATGGATTACCCGGAGTTACCTCTGCTGCAGAGGATAAGTTAATTAGTTACCACCCTCAGAAATTGCAGCCCAAATAAATGCTTCACAGAGTTCAAGTAACAGACATCTCAACATCAACTGTTCAGAGGAGACTGTGTGAATCAGGCCTTCATGGTCAAATTGCTGCAAATAAACCACTACTAAAGGACACCAATAATAAGAAGAGACCTGCTTGGGCCAAGAAACACGAGCAATGGACATTAGACCAGTGGAAATGTGTCCTTTGGTCTGGTCCAAATTTGAGATTTTTGGTTCCAACCGCCATGGCTTTGTGAGACGCGCTGTGTGTGAACAGATGATCTTGGCATGTGTATTTCCCACCGTAAAGCATGGAGGAGGTGTTATGGTGTGGGGGTGCTTTGCTGGTGACACTGTCTGTGATTCAATTAGAATTCAAGGCACACCTAACCAGCATGGCTACCACAGCATTCTGCAGTGATACGCCATCCCATCTGGTTTGGGCTTAGTGGAACTATCATTTGTTTTTCAACAGGACAATGACCCAACACACACACTATTTTACCAATAAGGAGAGTGATGGAGTGCTGCATCAGATGACCTGGCCTCCACAATCCCCCGACCTCAACCCAATTGAGATGGTTTGGGATGAGTCGGACCGCAGAGTGAAGGAAAAGCAGCCAACAAGTGCTCAGCATATGTGGGAACTCTTTCAAGGCTGTTGGAAAAGCATTCCAGGTGAAGCTGGTTGAGAGAATGCCAAGAGTGTGCAAAGCTATCATCAAGGCCAAGGGTGGCTATTTGAAGAATCTCAAATATAACATATATTTTCATTTGTTTAACACTTTTTTGGTTACTACATGATTCCATATGTGTTATTTCATAGTTTTGATGTTTTCACTATTATTCTACAATGAGTAGGTGTGTCCAAACTTTTGACTGGTACTGTAGGTCTGGGATTTCCGAGTCTATAGAGAAGGAGATGAAGAGACCAATAGAGTGGTGTTAGACAAACACCAAATAGAAGAGGACAGAGCAGACGTGTGTGGTTCAAGTGTCTTTGGATCTGTAGAGCCTAAAACAGCTGAAGGGCACATGTGACCAGGAGTCTCCAGCAAGCCCAGAACAGTGGTGCAACAAGCAAGACTAGAGGACGCCAGGAGGAATAGCTGTAGGGAGAATGAGTTGGGGCAGATACAAATTGTCGCCATCCACCAGAGGGCAGAGGAGTTGACGAACAAGTGCATTGCTTCTATGAGCGCTAAGAGAAGGATGGAGTGAGATCAAGATCAAACTGCAGAAATACTACTCACCCAGAACAGAACATTTCCATTGCTTTCAAACAAAACCATCAAAGCATTTATGTTACACCTTAGTGCCCATTTTCTTATCAGTCTGGTTGTGCTGCAATATGCCATTTTTTACAGCCAAGTACTTCGGTGACAAAAAACTGCATTTGGCAGTAATAGTTTAAATAATAAGGGTCATTATGAACATTCACCACAGTTCATGAGAAATACAGCAGTGTGGTGAGGGGAATTCCAGTTGAAGTACTGCATTTACTGTAATCCGAAAAGGCAAAACGGAAAAACTAACACCGATATTCATAGACAGAAAACAAAGAATATCCTTTCACACAATAAATGACTAGTTTGATTAAATCTATAAAAAATAAAAATAAATCTGATTTAGGCCACCATAAGCAAATGGTTGTCTATCAGTGAACAAACAAAATCTGTCCATAATATTGGCAATGGAATAATAGGTGCTTTAATTGCATTCTAAGAAACAGCGCGTGTGCAGTCTTACTCTATTGTTTAGCTCACTTCATGAACTTCATTTCTTTAAAATACAGCAGATTAACAGACTAACAATGACGTTCTTTCAAACATGAAGTTAAATACTTCTTCACAAAATAAAATCTATGTGCTTGTTTTTAAAAACGTAATAAAGAGACATTTGGTTAGAGTGATGTGATGTAAGTCGCTCTGGATAAGAGCGTCTGCTAAATGACTAAAATGTAAAATGTAAATGTATGAAAATAAATTGAGGCACTTCTATGGTTTGGACTGTGAAAATTGCCTTTGCTAAAATAAATGTGAAAGCTAAGAGACATGGATCAACAGTTAGAATAATAGATAGGCAATTTAAGATTGACATGCTAGGAACCCAACGCATTACGCCTACTCAATTTAGTGTGCGTATAGTAGAGGTATGTTTGTAATTATGCATCTGAAAAACTGGGTTGGTAGTGCTAAAAAACAGCATTTGTCTTTTTCAAATCATAGCGTAATCGCTTTTTCCTTGTTGACAAAGTAAATCAATAAAGTTTGATGCATAATATACTGTACAGAAATTCCTCAACAAAAGACGCATCTAGTTCAACTCTTGTTGTTTCAATCAGAACACAAATAAAATGCCATCGAGGTAGCAGTTGGCATGTTTCCTTTGTTTTATCTTTTGCCAAGATTGTGAAACATTGGTTTAAAATTAATATCAAACTCATTTTCAACTCCTAGGCAAATTAATCTACGAAATCCATCCACGAAAATAACTTGCCATCAAATGCAACTACTTTGTAAGCCTAATGGCTCATAAACTTTTGGAAGATTATCTGGTAGCTCAGTTTGTAGAGCATGGCGCTTGCAACACCAGCATAGTGGGTTCGATTCCCGGGACCACCCGTATGTAAAATGTATGCACCCATGACTAAGTCACTTTGGATAAATTACATATATTATATTATATTATGAAATAGAGAAGAAAGGTTTTCAGAGTTAGAGATTAACTTAAAATCATGCTGATGATGCAGGTTGTATTTGACCCTGAGACCAGAAAGATAGTTCACATGCTGTTAAGAGTCTGTGGTGTTGGTTTGTGCTTCTTTTTTCTTGCTCTCATCATCATCCCCTAGGAATAACAGGGGGAACATTCCCAGAATGCATCCGATTGTGACTCCAATACCTTTTCCCTGCACACAACAGAAGAATAATACATGTCAAATGCGAAGTTCTCCACAGTTTGAGTTTTGTGCATGTTTCTCAAGTCAGGATTCTGCCTTATGCATCTTGCTATTAAGGTTATCATAAATCTTTGAACATGGATAGCTAGTAAACCAGCCATCCTCTAAATAGCTCAACCTTATAGGGCCAGTTTCTCATAACCAGTTTAAGATTTTTTGTCCAGGAGTAGACCAGCCCATAAAGATAATCATTTCTAAAATCACTCACCATGTGGGAGCTAACCCTGGTCTGCCACATGTCAGCCTGCTTGGGGGTCAGGTCAGGAACCTGCATCCCTAGCCTGGAGGCTAGGACCTCCACGTATCCGGCAAGACTGCCCACAGACGAACAATATAAGAAACGCAGCTATGGTAGTCATGTAACATGTGTATTACCATTCCATTTCAAGAAAAATCACAATCATACAGTATGTGGACACCCCTTCAAATTAGTGGATTCGGATATTTCACCAACACCCATTGCTGACAGGTGTATTAAAAATCGATCACACAGCCATGCAATCTCCATAGACAAACATTGACTTTGAACGTGGCACCGTCATAGGATGCCACCTTTCCAGTCAGTTCATAACATTTCTGCCCTGCTAGAGCTGCCCCAGTCAGTCAACTGTAACTGCTGTTATTGTGAAGCGAAAAGTTTAGGAGCAACAACGGCTCAGCCGCGAAGTGGTAGGCCGCACAAGCTCACAGAATGGGACCGCTGAGTGCTGAAGCGCGTAAAAATCGTCTGTCCTCGGTTGCAACATTCACTACCAAGTTCCAAACTGCTTCTGGAATGCCAAGCATCAGCTGGAGTGGTGTAAAGCTTGCTGCCATTGGATTCTGGAGCAGTGGGTACGCGTTCTCTGGAGTGATGAATCACGCTTCACCATCTGGCAGTCCGACAGATGAATCTGGGTTTGGCGGATGCCTGAATGCATAGTGCCAACTGTAAAGTTTGGTGGAGGAGGAATAATGGTCTGGGGCTGTTTGTCATGGTTCGGGCTAGGCCCCTTAGTTCCAGTGAAGGGAAATCTTAATGCTACAGCATACAATGACATTCTAAACGATTCTGTGCTTCCAACTTTGTGGCAACAGTTTGGGGAAGGCCCTTTCCTATTTCAGCATGACAGTGCCCCTTTGCTCAAACCATACAGAAATGGTTTGTCGAGATCGGTTTGGAAGAACTTGACTGGCCTGCACTGAGCCCTGACCTCAACCCCATCGATCACCTTTGGGAGGAATTGAAACGGCGACTGCGGCCAGGCCTAATCGCCCAACATCAGTGCCCAACCTCACTAATGCTTGTGGCTGAATGGAAGCAAGTCCCTGCAGCAATGTTCCAACATCTAGTGGAAAGCCTTCCCAGAAGAGTGGAGGCTGTTATAGCAGCAAAGGGGGGACCAACTCCATATTAATGCCTATGATTTTGGAATTAGATGTTCGACGAGCAGGTGTCCACATACTTTTGGTCATGTAGAGTATGTCAAAATCATACCTGTCTACCCAGTAACTTGTGACCCCCACCACTGATATACTTGCAAGGCTTTGAGAGTTCTATGACAGACTAAATATTACACATAATGGAGGAGTGGTTGGTCCTCTTACCCAAGTCCAGCCAGGTCTGACACTAGGTTCCCAAGAGCTGCAGCTGTAACAGAAGAGGAATAAGAGATTTTACGCATAGTCTCTAAACCAAACGATTCTCGAAATCAGTTCATTTTTCAATACAATATAACTGCTCCTGTTCTCCTGTTCTTTGTTTAAACATGTAAACAATGCTGAGCCACATTGATTCCTTTTTCAAACGTTCAAAAGGTCAGCCACTGTCTCTACAGTTTGCAATCAGATCAGTGTACTGAATTGCATTATCACTTCATTAGCATCAGTGAGCTCTCAGCAGTCAGCCAAAATATGAACCAGGTCCAAGGAACTGCTTAGATCCAACTGCTATAAACCCTGAAAGCATCATGAAAACACTACTTGTGCATCACACTGGGATGAGTAGCGACCGTAAATTGTACTGTAATGTGGATGTATGGTGGCACTATTTAATAGCACTTGGTAAATCTTGGATGTATATTAATATGTGCCAGCATTAGACAGCACTGACTATGAGGATTGGAATTGGCAAGCATCTATATGTTCTTGTATTCAATGATCAAACTGTTATTCCTTGGACAGTGGTGATATTTCAAAAGTGATCCCCAAGGCACTATAATGGTCCAGGGATTCTGTTCCACATACTAGTGTTGGGGGGAATTTTTTTTATACAATTACATATCAGAATATCATTTTTTAAGATATATCGCACAAGAAATATTGAAATATTATTTTTGCGCTCGTTTTCTGTACCTGCACCAAAATTCCAGTATTTTCCCTTCATAGCTTGTTCATCTTCTTTTTTTAAAGGTGCAATATGCAGAAATCGCTCCACCATTTCCTGGTTGCTACATTTAAAAAATACTTTGCCTAATTTCAGTTTAGTGTAGAGAATCATTGTACCATTTAAACCACTGTGAATTCTCTTCAATAACCACAAATATTGTATTTTCAGCTGGTGTACAAAACCGAAATAAAAGCCTTGTGAGTTCGTTTCCCACAGGGGGCCAGTATGAAAATGTATGCACTCACTAACTGTAAGTCGCTCTGGATAAGAGCGTCTGCTAAATGACTAAAATGTAAAATGTAAAAGATGCAAAAACAAAACTTAACAGGAAGCATAGAAAGAGCACACATAGAACATATCTACCTCTTCTTAGACTTGATTTCGATGCGAATGACAGATCTATAACTCACATTTCTATGTGAATTTGTCCAGGTCGACCAAAAATGTACACATTGCAGCTTTAAATAGCTGCAAAATTTCCATGACTGATCAAAATATTTCCATGACTGATCAAATTTGTTTGGATCATCCAATCGCAATCACAGTATCAAATCACAATACATATAGAATCGCAATACATATCGTATCGGCACCTAAGTATCGTGATAATATCGTATCGTGAGGTCCCTGGCAATTCCCAGCCCTAGTTGCATCCCTACATGGCTTTTGTAGAAAGAAAGCTTCAGTGTACCAAAAAGTATTTTCGGGAGCATTAACAGTAAGTATGTGAGTATCTCTAACCAACCAGAAGCCTTGCCAAAGCAGTTGTTTGGGACTGAGAAGATGAGCTCAGTGGCCAATCAATTAAACCAGATTAAATTTGCACTACTCATTCCTACACGAGAGAAACATATATCTACTCTAAACAAAAGTATATAGCCTAAACAAAACCATCCCACAATTCTTGGGAGTGGCTTTGTCTAATGTGAATAGCTGCGGTAACCATCAATGGAACAAGCAGGGCTCAAATAGATAAAGTATGTCAGTTGAAGACCTTAAAATCAGGGACAGAAGCCTACATGCTTCCAAAAACATAGCCTACAAAATCCATCAGGCCCCATAGTGAGGGTAAAATGACTGCTATCTACTGTCACAGTGGGATTCAGGATGAGTAATACACAAGACTGTAACAGATACAAAAATGTACCATCATCACTGTCAAGACTGGATGGTAACCCAATATGTACTTTTGGTTTAGCTCCGAAATAAGGACAAATATGCTGTATCTTTTGATGTGACCTCCAGAGCAGCAGTTAATCTACCCCATTGGGTAGAGGCTGGCTAGACTTTTGTTATATTGCAAAAGATTTGACCCCTGTAAGGTTATGTTGAGAATCAAATCAAATCAAAAGGTGTAGACCAGGGTTCTTCAATTCCGGTCCTGGAGGGCCGAAAACACCTCTGTTTTTCATCCTCTCCTTCTAATCAGGGGCTAATTCAGACCTGTGACACCAGGTGAGTGCAATTAACTACCAGGTAGAATGAAAAAACAGAAGTGTTTCGGCCCTCCAGGACCGGAATTGAAGAACCCTGGTGTAGACCTTACAGTGAAATGCTTACTTACAAGCCCTTAACCAACAATGCAGTTTTAAGAAAAATAAGTGTTAATTAAAAAATAGATAAGTAAAAAATAATTAAAGAGCAGCAGTAAAATAAAATAACAGTAGGGAGGCTATATACAGGGGGTACCGGTACAGAGTTAATGTGCGGGGGCACAGGTTAGTCGAGGTAATATGTACATGTGGGTAGAGTTAAAGTGACTATGTATAGATAATAAACAGAGAGTAGCAGCAGCGTAAAAGACAATGCAATAGAGAAGTATTCTGACCAATGTTTATTGAGGGAGCTACTGCTAAATTTGAACATTTCAGATCACAATTGAACAGTCTTACCTGCCATGGTCGATAATCCAAAGGTGACACCTATAGACAACTCAATCTGGGTTCCCTAAAAGTCAAAAGCAGAAATATTACGTGGACATTTGTTTCTTGGTGTGCTAGCAATCATGTTGACTTTCCCACCCACATTTTTTCGCAATACTCCCTTTCATCCTCACAGTGGCAGTGTCCGAATACCCATACTAGTGTACTACATACTTAAACTGCATACTCATTTCGGCGTTTGATCTAATAGAATTCACTCGTCTCTTCCGACTCACGTGTCTGCCAACAGCTGATAATTAGATAAATTGACTCGCTGTACCAAAATGAACTAATGGCGGGAGTCGACGCAATCACTATTTTCGAATAGTACTATAACTATTTTTTTGCATAATATGTAGTACGCGTACGGGTATTCGGACACAGCCAGTATCTAATGAGAACAATGTGAAATACAAAATACATTTTAAAAATGCTAGTTCAAACAGGTATGAATACAGGTACATTTAACCACCTGAAAAAGTCAAACCACTTACTGCTGCAATCATGATGGCATTGTCCAAGAAGCCAAAACCAATGAAGGGGATGGCATTGTGTAGAAGCACTGCAAAGATGGTAGACCAATAAAAACAAACATTTTCTTATAATTTGCTGCTAAGATCAACTTGTCCTGGGAGTTAGGTCTCCGCACGTGAATAGAAATGTTCCCATTGAGTGATGGAAGTGACTGGCAGCAGAACACACCTGTCACTAAGTGACTCACACATGCTTGTTTGTGCCTGTGTGTACTGTATGTTTAAGGGGGCAGTGTCCTACTGACATTGAGGAAAAACCAAATGTATTTAGTGCCAGACAGCTTGGTAAAATACTATAGCTCAGCACTGCTTGAAAGCTGACAGTGACAGCTTGCAGTAATTTTTCAACGGCTGACATGAACATTTCCCCTCATTATACAGACTTTCTAATATACACTACCGTTCAAAAGTTTGGGTTCACTTAGAAATGTCCTTGTTTTCTAAAGAAAAGCAATTTTTTTGTCCATTAAAATAACATAAAATGGATCAGAAATACAGTGTAGACCAGGGTTCTTCAATTCCAGTCCTGGAGGGCCGTAGTTAATTGCACTCACCTGGTGTCCCAGGTCTGAATTAGCCCCTGATTAGAAGGAGAGGATGAAAAACAGAGGTGTTTCGGCCCTCCAGGACCGGAATTGAAGAACCCTGGTGTAGATATTGTTCATGTTGTAAATGGCTATTGTAGCTGGAAACAGCAGATTTTTAATGGAATATCTACATAGGCGTACAGAGGCCCATTATCAGCAACCATCAGTCCTGTGTTCCAATGGCACGTTGTGTTTGCTAATCCAAGTTGATCATTTTAAAAGGCTAATTGATCATTAGAAAACCCTTTTGCAATTATGTTAGCGCAGCTGAAAACTGTTGTGCTGATTAAAGCAGCAATAAAACTGGCCTTCTTGAGACTAGTTGAGTATCTGGAGCATCAGCAATTGTGGGTTCGATTACAGGCTCAAAATGGCCAGAAACAAATAACTTTCTTCTGAAACTCGTCGGTCTATTCTTGTTCTGAGAAATGAAGGCTATTCCATGCGAGAAATTGCCAAGAAACTGAAGATCTTGTACAACGCTGTGTACTACTCCCTTCACAGAACAGCGCAAACTGGCTCTAACCAGAATAGAAAGAGGAGTGGGAGGCCCCGGTGCACAACTGAGCAAGAGGACAAATACATTAGTGTCTAGTTTGAGAAACAGACTCCTCACAGGTCCTCAACTGGCAGCTTCATTAAATAGTACCCGCAAAACACCAGTCTCAATGTCAACAGTGAAGAGGCGACTCCGGGATGCTGACCTTCTAGGCAGAGTTGCAAAGAAAAAGCCATATCTCAGACTGGCCAATAAAAATAAAAGATGAAGATGGGAAGTCTGAGATATGGCTTTTTCTTTGCAACTCTGCCTAGAAAGTCAGCATCCTGGAGTCATCTCTTCAATGATCAATTAGACTTTTAAAATGATCAACTTGGATTAGCAAACACAACGTGCCATTGGAACACAGGACTGATGGTTGCTGATAATGGGCCTCTGTACGCCTATGTAGATATTCAAAAAAAAATTTTTTTAAATCAGCCATTTCCAGCTACAATAGCCATTTACAACATTAACAATGTCTACACTGTATTTCTGATGAATTTGATGTTATTTTAATGGACAAAATAATTGCTTTTCTTTGGAAAACAAGGACATTTGTAAGTGACCCCAAACTTTTGAACGGTAGTGTATATTTTTCATTTACATTAAGAGAAATAGCTGCTGGGAAACTAAAGCTGATATGCCCATAATTCGTTCAGAGAGACTCTTTTCAAAGGGGTATAATGTGACTACGGAAGCATAGACCCTTATGATCCAACTGAGAAAACTTTTGAACTATAAATATCTCTATGGTATAAAGAAAATTACATTCATAATTTGAGAGAGCTTTTATCTTACCGTATTTGATCTGAGCTCGAGTAAGCGGTGAAGTCTCTTGAGTCTCTGAAAGATAAGATCAAAAGCATAAAAATTATGTGCACTGGGGTAGAACTTTCAGATCCTAGTCAACCCTCATGCTTTCTCTCCCAAAAAGCTGGGCACAGAGATGTAAACTGCAAAGTGTTGAGCACAAATATTAACATGTTGACTGTATAATGCAGACTATTCAATAGTAATGTGAGAAACATAAATTGTTGGTAGGATATTCATTGAGAACTAAGGGGCATGTTCCAAGTGAATGTGTTCCCAGTTTTTTTATTTATGTAGTAGTAGTAGTATTATTATTATTATTATTATTATTATTATTATTTTTGGGGTCCAGGCAGTGGCCAGGTGCATCCTGGGTGATTTATGGAAGAAAATCCCTTTAGCCCCAACTGGGTCCTTCATTTACACTTCAGTAAAAAACAAAAAAACAAAACACAAACCCCAGTGCTAAACAGATTCACACCTCTAATATGAATGCCGTTTGGAAAGGTCAAGGACGCTACCTTTAGACAGAGGGGCTGGGGTGCTATTTCTGGAAAGGGAAACCCAAGACTAAGGTGAGGTGACCCCCAGCTGATGAAGTTACTTTAAATGGGAATGGAAATACTATTTTGACTGTCATGGAATACTAATTAATCACAACAGCAGGTCAATCTGCTCATGAGTATATATCCCAAAACTTCTAGATGACAAAATGGATATCTGTGCAATCTGCAGCCAGTAGATTTTAGACAAGATGTTAAATGATAAATAGCATAAGGCTACATATTTGTCATCTGCCACTCCAATGTCCTTGACTTCATTAATTTCAGAATAATTGGTGAGACCTAGCCTGCATAATTTTAGAGCCATATCAACCCCTCCCGCTATATTACCTTTCTAAACAACAACTGTCACAGCAGGCAGCAGCGCTGATGAGTCGTTTCCCTCTGAGGTTAGCTGGAACGGTGCATGTGAAACTGCCTATTACAGAACTGTCTGTGGCAATCGTCACCACCATCTGCCCGCTGTCACAGTTCTGAGGAATTGGCACTCTCCCCAACACAACAGAAAGGCTTAACAGGGGAAGTGTAGGACTCCCTGCTGCTAGGACAGAATTGGAGAGATGTGTTAGTCTTTAGTCTGCTATTCCTTTGAGGGCCAATTTATTCTCCATAATTCAAGTAGTGGATGTAAATATCTCCCATATTAAATTGGAGTGGAAATATGTGCCAATATGCTTTGTTTACCAGTGAAAAAGTTAGGGCAGTGCACTCAGATTCCATATAGATTGTAAAATAACTACTACTGAAAATGTTCTATAATATAAAAGAATATTGCTCAAACAACCTAAGGACCGTAGCAATACAAAAAGCAAATCAATGGCAACTTTTATAGCAACCACACAATAGGGTTGTCTGCAGCTTCTAGCTGCACTTTTTTTTAAAAATTATTTAAAATACTCAAATTTCAGTCAAATATTTTGAAGTGTACTTGCTACGTCTTGACTGCTACCGCCGGAGGTAGCACACGACACTCGCCCGACAGTTGCCCCCCTTGAAGCAGGGCAGTGTCCACAGAATTGTCTCATTGAGCCAACACTCGTACAGTATAAATGGTAATAGCAGGGGAATGTTTTTGAAACAGCTGAAACGTAGACATCTTCCTAATATTTGAGTTTTTACCAGAAATTGCAGTAACAGCCTGCTGCATTCTGAAATTGTGCAGTAGCTGCCAGCTGCACTAAGCCACGTAGAACTATGGAAGCCCATCCCCACCACTAAAAATATGTAAAATGTAGATCATACAAATAGGATATGTTTTTTTATTTGTAAAATTGTGTGGTGATTTCAGAGATGGCACCACAGGTCCAAGAGTGGTGGGGGGGAAATTGTTTTCCTGGGGCCCAGAGTTTTTCCTGATCTGGTAGTAGGCTAACCTAACCAACTCCAGACCCTAGTTGTACGTATGACATAGTAATAAATCAACTGTAAAAAAGTTTTTATATGGGCTATGATGGGACCAGATTATTTTTCTAAAATCAGGTCATATTGTTAAAAAAATATTTTTTGAGAAAAACACCTGGCCCTAGGGAATATGAAAACATTAAAACCCTTTGTCTGTGTAAAGACAACTGCAATTGGACAATAAAATGAACAGGGCTGAGCTCGATGTATGCAGGGTGGCATCGTGTAGGCCTTTGCATCTGTAAATAAAATTACACTGTATGAGTATGTCATCACTAGTGTTGATTGATTAATTCCCGTCAATAATTCTGGATTGAAAAGGCCTAAGTAGCCTAGCCACCCGAAGTTTGAATATAAACTAAATTTGATCACATTCTCACAGAAAACAAATAAATGGGCCTATTTTAGGCTATAATAACATGACGTTACGTTTCCCCTGGCCAGGCCCAGATGTGATCAGAACGCATAGGCTTCTCTAGGCTACCTGCAGCTGTGGTTGTTATCAGTAAGCTACAGTTGCTCAGACTAAAGCACAGATTAATTGTGCACATTGACAAATCATGAGGCAATTTATAAAAAAATTTGGTGGC